CTAAGCTGTAGCTTGTAATGTTTACAGATTAATGTTTCTGGTAACTGGCTTAGTCAGAAAAAGTAAGTTGGACATTATAGGGAGTTTTTGTCTTTTTATATGTATTTTATGTGGATAATCCAGTTAAGATGTTAACATATTAAAATATTAAAATATGTATATCAAAAATCTGAGTAAATTAAAATGCCTGCTATGTAATAAATAAATAGAATCAGCGTAGTGATGTTATGTTTCATTTTAAATCGTTTTTAAGATTCACAGCCACAAAATCCCATTAATCATAGTCAGAAGAAACGTGCTCTCCAAGTGTCCAAAGGTGAGTGTTGCTTTTGGTTTCAAGCAATAAACATGTAAATGTCCCTGTCTCGCAGGTCCCTACAAAGGAATGGGCTTCAGAAACTTAGAGCGAACATATTCTTTAAGTACCAGAGCCTGCAGAAACTGTGAGTGTTCCATTAATTGCGGATTACATGCTATTTATGTTCTTTTATTGCATTTGTAGTCTTATTGTCTTTTCAAAATATTCTTTTCTGTTTTTTATATTGTTTGTTTTTTTCTTTAAGAATAAAAAAAGCTCCACACACACTAGATCAGGTGCTATAACACTAAACTATTCATTGAGTAAAGCATCTTCACTCTACCTTGACCTTGGCAAATGCAACAAATAAGCATCACATCTATAACGCTGGTATGTGTAAGCTAAGAGGACTGCTGGGAACGTTGACAGACGTTTTTGTTCTGCTTTGCATACAAATTCATTCATTGTCGACTTGTATTTTTTATCAACCTCACACAGTCACACTGACAATGGCAACATGAGAATAGGTCTTATCCCTCGCCAGAAACCATTTGGTTGGTAGCTTTTGCTGGACTGAAAACTTCCCTGAGATGCGTATAAACAAACATTAGAATGAATTGCCGCGTGTGAAAACACAAGACAAAACACAACTGTCAGCAGGGGTTTGGGGAGCTCGTAGTGCGCAATATAAAGGAGTATTCCTGGAAGAGATTATCATTATTTGATATGAATGATTTCATTTACGCAAAAGGTGCACTTGAGCAAAGGCATTCGGGCTTTATGGCTTAGTATGTCTGTTTTTTTTT